CATGAAGGACAGGCTCTCCCACCTTTTCAGAGCTCCTTTTAGTTGTGGCAGAGAGTTATATCTACACAGTAGAGAAACAGAAGTGAGAAAGGTTTTTTTCTCAGCTTGCGGGCACAATGATATCTAAGGTATCTGTAACATAAAATACAATACATATACATACATTTTAATTGTAAATATCATGGCAGGTAGAGGTGAAAATGCTTGGTGAATGCTCAGTAGTTTTGTATGGGGGAATGTTCGAGTTTGGCAAAGAAAGCCTAAAACTCTGGTGATCAGGCCTCATGACTCAACAATAACCTCTTTGTGTTTGATGGATTGCCCATTCAAATGACCTTGGGAATGGCATTCATGTGCCAGACAGCCTCTCCCTACTAGCTGTAATGCCAAAATTCTTCAGAATCCTTCTGACTTATTGGCATCTGCTGCCACATTTTATATCACTTTTTTCGGGGTTGTTCGGTAACACTAAAACTTGTAACAGTGTTAATTATTGGCGATTTAAGGAGAACTGCAGTTGGGATAAACTCGACAAACAAACACAGCTCTGTGCACTTTTTTTGTACTTTAACCTGTAGCAGTACCTGCATGGGGGGTTACAAGCCACTCACTGGTATTCTGAGTAATGGCTAGTTTAGGCTTTGATCACGTAAGAGCACCTTTGTAGTCAGGTTCCACTTCCTGCTATGGGACAGGTTGTAGGGAACATTATTTGTTCTTTGTCTTTCCTGCATCCAACAGCAAAAAACAGACACATGTCGGAGGCTACTCAGATGACATGTTGAGAAAACAAAAACGATCCCCTCTGGGTGACTATGAATAATGTACATGGCAAAGATTTTAACAAACTTTGTTGCAGATTCCTACCTCTTGCTGTTCTGAAGAAAAAAAATGTTTGCTTCTTATGTTCTTTCTAGACTGATTGATGAATGGGAGGGTCTGGTTTCTTACAACCTCACTGTGCACTTGCTCTGATGAGGAAAGCTGAAGTATCTGCATCTCTTTAGAAGTAGTTAACCCTCAGGGAGTATGTTACTAAAAAGGAAATTTGTATTGCAGGGGATGCCCAAACGTTTACTTGTATCTTAGTGCAGATCTGGGAAAAATGTGACTTGTATCTGGGAAAATCAGTGAGCCAATCACATGAGCAGGAAATTACATTTCTGGGGGCATTGGTGTACAGAACGCCTCCAAATTGCCAAATTGCATTTTCACTTTTTATTTTTTTTTACAGTTTTAGAAAATTATGGCCACTTGAGATTAAAATGTAGAGGTCATTTTTAATGTTTTACCATAAATGTTTACCTTTAATGTTGGTTGCATCGTACAAACATTTCAGATGCTTTCTTTCCCTAATATAAAAGTTCAGTCAGTTAACGTTTAACTATTATTTTTTAAAATATTTTGTTTTTATTTATGTATTTTTTTTAAATTATTCTCTGGTACCGCCTGGTACATAGCATGTAGAACTTTTGGGACTCTATACCACCGTGTCAACAGTTTGTATCCTGCCTCCTGATATTTAGTCGACACGAAGGATTTGAGAGCAAAGTGCAACATCCGGTCCACCTGCTCGAGGCTAAACTCCACACCCAAGTCCGTGGCCCATTGACTGACGAAGTACGGAGGGGGAAGATCAGGTGGGTTACGGAGACAGTCGACCAGATGAGACAGCATATGTCTCACTGGCTCCGCCTTCTCACATACTCTCTCGAATTCTGTTCGTGGTCGGAGGGGGGGTCCCAACTCGTGATGTGTCTAGAAAGAGGTGTATCTGTAGGGCGCTCCAGAAACCCATGGGCGGGTCGGTCAGGTCTCTAATCTGATCTATGTGCAACCACCGGTCCGCCTCCTGGAACTGATATAATTTAGTATGCTCTGACGAGGCCAAGGACCTCGCCAGTGGGGTATGCAGACCCGGGGGGAAGTGTGGGTTCCCAGTCAGTGGTACGAGAGGCGAGGGCTGTGGGGAGAGACCCGGGATGGGCAGTGATCTACTTGTTGCCTTCATCGTGGCCCGAACCAATGGGTTCGACCAGTACGAAAGCGGCAATTTGGGATAGATCCAAGGTGCACTCTGTAGGGGTGGAGTGCACTCCAATTGCTCCAGGTCCACCCACAGCTTATGTTTGGAGTTACAACACCAGTCAACCACCACTGACAGGTGTGCCGCCTTATAGTACATCACCGGGTCTGGGAAGCTCAGACCACCTGCTCCCTTAGATCTAGACAGAAGCTGATGCCTCAACCGTGCCCTCTTGTTCATCCATAGGAAAGTTAGAAATTGAGACCGCAGCTGGCGAGGGAACTTCACCGGGATGGATACTGGGAGCGTCTGGAGGAGATATAACAACCTAGGCATGACCACCATATGTGTTTATTTTTATAAATATTTTTATTTTTTAACTTTACTGTTGGGGGTTCTGGGTAATTGTAGGGGTCTAAATAGATCCCTGATATTTACCTTTTAAAATAGAAAAGGAGATCGAGGACACAGAGTCCTCAATCTCTTTTTCTGAAGCCTATGCTGTAAATGAAGAGGAATCTTCTATACTGAGTGTTTCTGTTCATTTATAACTTGTGGAGAGCTGACTGCTTGTAACCGCTCTCCACCTTGTCACATGAGGCTGAGCGGACAGTGTGGGGAAGAGAGCTCGGCCTATTTTGACAGCTGACTCCTCCCCCACACTGCTGGTTTGGCCTCCTGTGACAGCTCAAGCTGTCTCCACCCTCACAACGTTCTCCTGATCTGTCACATTACCGGGAGGAGAGCCCGGCCTCCTGTGACATTGCAGCTCACAGCGCTCTCCTCCCTGCCCTGTGCACAGTGGCGTCGCTACAGGGGGACAAGGTTATCACTTGCCCCCCCCTGTGTGCCCCCCCCCGCTAACAGTGGCGGCAGTCCCGGCGCTAGCGCAAGGCAAGAGAAATGGAATCCCTGTCCCACCAGATAACTGCGCCCGAGACGGTTATCACACAGTTATCTGCTGGGACAGGGGTTCTCCCCGCTGCAGCCTCACAGACTGTCAGCGGTTTGTCCCTACAGGCTGTAGCGATCTGTGTCAGTGGGGACAGATTGCCGATTACAGCCTGTAAGGAGAACCCTCCGACAGTCTGTGAGCTCCCCCCGCAGTCTACTCACCTCTCCGTGGCGTCTGCGATTGTCTTCATTCCAGCAGCTGACCGCAATAGCCAGCCTGCTATTGGTTCTTGGCTCTTTTAAATTGCAGTAGCCAATAACAGGCTGGCTATTGCACCCACCCACTGCCAGCTGTCATTCAACAGAGGTGGACCTGATAGAAAACTTCAGGTCCCTCCTCTGCTGATTGACAGCAGGCAGTGAGTGGGTGCTGTAGCCAGCCTGTTATTGGCTATTGCAATTTGAAATATCCAATAGCAGGCTGGCTATTGCTCCTACCAATGAAGTAAAAAAAAGAAAAGTTTAAAAAAATAAACTAAGATAAAAAAAGTTAAAAAAGTAAAGTTAAATTAATAAGAAGTAAAAAATATGTTTTAGCAATGTGGTCCAGGCTAGTGCTAGCGCAAGGATGTATAGGCATAGGCAGCCAACTAAGGGAGAGGGGGGTGGGGGCGCAAAAATCCACCTTCACCTGTGTAGGCAAAAATCCTTGCACCGGCCCTGAGTGGCGCATCCAGGGGTGGACTGACCTGGCTAAATGTAGCCGCCGGCCGCAGGTGCAGTGGATCCCTCCCTCCGCCACCTGCACCGCTCCAGATGCGGCTCTGTAATCGGGCGACTGCTCTCTCCTCAGGGGGGTCCTCAAGAGGCCCCAGCGGGCTGCCCTCTAACATGCCTGACAGCCAGCGGCGGTCTAAAGTGGGCGAGAGTGCCTATGTACCAGACATAGAGCTGAGTAAGGCCAGAACTATGTAGGGAGCCCAGTGGGAGGAGAGCACCATCCCCCAGCCTGTCACCCCTTTCATGGACTTACTAGGAGTCCTCACATCACCCGACCATTCACACTACTGTTACATGGATGGCAAAAGTGGCAGGCAGGGGTGGGGAGAAGGTGGGGGAAGAGGCAGAGTGGGAGGGGGGCCAAGTAGCTGCATCATGGGCCTCTGGGTTGTACTTGCCCCCTGGGCTAAAAGTTGCCAGTCAGCCCCTGCTGTATTCTGCACCTACTGGGCGCTGAGAGCTGATTTAATTGTGGATGGCGTCGGCGGTTGCGGTATTCAGGATTGTGGGCAGAGTTGGACTACATGTCGGAACCGCAGGACGCAGATGCCATCCGCAATTAAATCAGCTCTTGGCGACTTGCAGTTGCGACATGCAATGAAAATTACTAGTGCCCCCCCAGATTTGACTGTGGTATCTTATGTGCCGCCCCCTATATATTGTTCGTAGAGTCGCCACTGCCTGTGCAGCTGCCTGAATGTTTCTCTCCTCCCCATTGGACACTGCGCTGTGTCAGAGGGGACACAGAGCAGTGCACAGTGGGGAGGAGAGAAACTAGGCATGCACCGCAATTGCAGCTTGAAAGATGGTACTTTGGCATTTTGCCAAAAGTGCTATTTTCGGCCGATATGTTTCAACAGCCGAAATTTTGGTGCATGCCTAATTATAATACATAAATATAAATGCACTTACTTCACAAATTTGGCATTCTTCACATGTTGCCACATACCACATGAAAGGTAAAATCAGTGGGTGTGTCTTCACTATAAACTGATGAGCAGGGATACCATAGTGGTTCTATACAGTAGCCCAAAAAGTAGACAGGAGGTGAGTTAGTCTGCGGAATCAAAGGTTCTGAAAGGTGTCCTTCTACTTTACAGCCGAACAGCTCAGCAGAAGTGTGTATGGGGAATTACTCATCCTTTGAAACATTTCCTTTATATGTGTTTTAGTTGTGTGTTGAGCTGTTTTTGTTGTCTTTCCCCTTCAGCAATAAGAGTTTATAACTTTAATAATCCAGTAAAAGGAACACAAACATTCACAAAACTCGATGTTCTTGTGTTTCCTCTTTGCAATACAGATCGATCTACCAAAGTGATTCACTGGAAAGAATTCACAGTTATGCCTTTGCCAGACTTCCCAACCTGACAGAACTGTAAGTAATTGTTTTTTTGTTGTGGACAGTCTACACAATTATTTTCAAATCTAAGTTCAAAGAATAAGCATAGTAGTAAATAAATTAATGATCTTCTCTTCTGTTTTCACTTATAAGCTCTGGCTAGCTTTCTTCATATCCATATTCATGCCAAAATTGCAAATGTTTCACTGTCCTTTCAGCCCTATTACATTTTTTTCTTTTTCCTCGTTAATTTTTAAATGATGGAAATGATGGTTATTTTTGCTTTAAGTACAGACTTATCGTATCCTTTCTAGAACTTTTACAATTAGATGTAAACCCTAACATGATGACATTTGGCTTACTCTAGAACTATGTTGCTTCATTGTGTCATTAACAATTGCTTTGTGTAGTTTTACTAGTACCGACCTTCAATAAATGTTGGCCTTCAGATGGCCAACAGCTTACATTGCGAATGTTCTAAGCACACTTAGTTGGAAGTAAGGTCCTAGGAACATCATCTCCTGTGTGGTTCTTTCCTTAGAGTATTATAAAAGGTGGACACCATTCCTGTTTGGTTAATATAAACGGTAAACTGGTTTATTTACTTTAGCACATATGGAAGGAGGGTGAGGCAGGAATCAGGATACCCCAAAGAGCTGTTTCAACCGCCAGACTATGCTCCAAGACTCTTCTAAGGCATTCTATTCCCTTAGTCTCCTTTCCCCCACACAAACCATGCTGGCTGATTGCCCACAGGACTGTGGCTCTTTGGAGAGTAAGAGCTGGTACTCCAAGACTCAAAACAAACAGAAGGTTACCAGCAATGAAGACAAACACTCAAGACAGAAGGTAGGCAACAGAAAGAAGACTGGGAGGTTGATGAGGGCAACCACACAGAACATTAACTGAACATACAGAAACTGGTGAGGGATCAGACAAGTATGACAGTATCCAGCAAGAGACAAATGGACACCATTGGGTAGCCAAGGAAGATTTGAAACACCACACAGATGGAAAAAGGTTGAGCAGGGTGGAGTCTTAGGGCTTTCTATAACTAATGGCAAATAAGCGGTTCACTTCGCAAGGGAATCTGCACTTTGCACAAGAAGTTTCCATTTAGTTTAACGAAGAAGGTAAAGCTCTGCTGACTTCCATAATCCATCATGGGCAAGCAAAAATACTGTTTTCTTTTTAGCTTCCTGGCAAGTGATTGGGTTTTCTTTGCAAAGTGATAGTTCACCAAATTCGCCATGCTATGGGAACATTCCCTTGCAAGGTGTACAGCCTATTTGCCCTTAGTAAATCAACCTCATAGAGTGGTGAGCAGGAGACGTACAACAACAAGGGCAAAGCAAGGAGTTTTCAAAAGCATAGCATGCAGGTACAGGTGGTGCAAAGCATACGTCCAAATAGACATGATGCTGGGCTTGGTGTCTACCCAGTTCACCTGTGTTTGCACCAACCCGCTCAGAACTCTGACCGCCAGCCTCTCCTCCTGACACACTCAGGAGTTGATTTACTAAAGGCAAATAGACTGCAGGTTTGCAAGGGAATATTCACTTTGCAGGGAAAGTTTCCCTTAGCTTGGCGCATGTGGTAAAATTTCACTTTGGAAAGAATACCCAATCATGTGCAAGGACCATTAAAAAAAAAAAAAGTATTGTTGCTTGCACATGAGTAGATGATGGAAGTCAGTAGATTAAGAGGCATGATTTAAGGTAAGTCCTTTCACTAACATTGAGAGGAGGGAAAAAATACTTTAATGTTACTTTAAGAACAAGCCTACAGTCCCTATCTTGTTTGTAACCCGGGGACTGCCTGAATTTTGTTTTTAACAATCCCATTGAATGCAGCCCCTTACTTTCTAAGTGAGCCTAGTTAAGCAGTGCAAATTCTCCCCCATGAGGGCACAATGGTGCAACAAACATGAATGGTATTTATAGCAGTTTACTAACGTGCTGTTATTAGTTGGCTGCTGTGCCCTGTAATATTACATTTGTCATAAAACTGGAAACTTGAGTGACAAAAAAAAATGTGTTTTATATCATGTTTCGGAACAGGTTGTCCATCAAGTCATTCTTCTAACAGTGGCCAAGTTCACTATGAATCTTATGAACATTATTCAGTTTGATTGTAATTTTCAGATAAAGTTGGTTTCTGATACTGGCTTTGTTCTAATGTAATCCCCCAAAAAATCAAATAAAACTGATTTGATTGCCCTATGTGATATAAAAATGATATTACAATCAAAAATGATTCAACAAGTGGAACAGATTTTATTGTCATTGAAGAACCAGAAATAACAATGTGGGTATCCTGCACAACAGTGATGAGCAATACAATAGACATTTGCAGGGCAACAAAAAATAGTTTTGGACGAAACAAATACAAATGTAAAATATTTTAATTTATTTCATCAAAGGAAACAAATTTTAATCCTGTTTTGGATTCGGAGGCATTGAGCCTCCGAATCCGAAACCGCACAAAGAAACTGCAGATCGAACAGCGGCCGTATCACACACACACACACACGTCATGTCATGTGACGTCATGCACCCGCCTCCAAGATGTGGGCATGTGCAGAACACTATATGGCTGCCACACGTTCTGATAACAAATTTATATATGCCAGGATATCGTTTTAGGCATATAAAAATTTTTTTGATTCCGACTAACCGCCGAATCAACTGAATTTCATTGATTTGCTGGTTTGTCTGAATGCACATGTCTACAATACAGCCAATCAGGATATTTAAAGATAAATACTGTGTATTGAACTGGACTGGAGCTGGACTCCGGCCTTCCCTTCAGTCTTGCACAGTTGTACAGGTTCCTCTCCTGGACTGAAATTACTTACTTTGATTTCACAGCACACTGTGAGCTTCTCATAGTGTACATTAGAAGCTGCAGCAAGTCAGGTATAACCAACCCTTTCATTTTCTGGATGAAAGGACTTTCCTTCCCAGCCATACTGTCCCTGCCCTGCACTTTTATTTCATTGGAGTTCAGTTTTTTCAATCATGGTGGCTCAGCATCACATGTGGGTGGTGGTCTGCATGCAAATACAGCCTGCCAGGGAAAGGGCGCTCCTCCAGACTGACACCCACCTATGAAGGCATTGTGATATTTGCATAACTCCTCCCAAAAGCCCACTGCTTGCATCAGGGCTTAGGCAGTGTGTGGTGATGTTTTTAGAAAGTTATTTACAGTATTTACATGGCATAGAGAAGCACAGAGACCCAGTAATGATGTCACTGGGTCCTAAAAAGATACCTATTGTAAAAGAAAATAGTTATTTTAAACATTTTAAATGGCTGTAGATTGGGGGGGGGGGGCACAGAAGTA